AAGGACGCGGGTCACTCGGGAAACCGACACAGCGCGAGCTAGCAATGAGGGACCTTACGACATAGCGTTCTAGACGCGCCCTGAAGGGACACAATGATGAATGGTCATGTCAGGAATTGGTACATGGGAGATTCCAGCATCACTCACTTCGTCACTGTTGTGGTCGGTGGCTCGCAGCGGGTCGCCCAAAGCTACCCGAACATTAAGTATAGGACTCGTAGCCAATATTGAGGGAGATGAATGCCAGTGGCGCAGGGGTCCTGCCCCATGCCATGGCATCCCTGATCCATGCACGAGGGTAGTAGATTAGCAGAAAGTACTGTGCGCTGAGACCGGGATAGACACGTACGTGGCGTTCCCGGTATTGGGTATGGTCAGCCTAGTCTCTATGCCGTCATGGAAGGACTGTCAAGCCATATGAGCGTCTCAATTCAGGGCAGCTCGTTATGAGAAAGCCTATTAGACCTGCGGGACTCCCGACAGCCGACGCGTCATGCGCTCCCGCCCATTGCGACGGCCTACACGTTCTCCCGCCAGAGGGAGAGGGGGAAGAACAATTCACGGTCCGCCTGGCCACGGCTGTCCACCTGATGTGCTCGCTTCAGCCAGACATTCCTGCGCCGGTGAATAAGAAGCACGCACCCAAGCGAGCGGATTCTGTCGGAAGGGCACGGATGCCCGAGATAGAAAACAAAAATACCAGGTGTGGGGAGCCATGTTCGCGTATGCACAACCGTTCCCAGGGGCGACGCCACAAGGTGGTGCTCCGGCTCGTCGTGGATCGCAAGAACAGACCACTGCAGAGGATGGGTAAGTGTACGCGGCACACGGGATGTACACCGGCGGAGTTCTTTCCGGACGGGCCATGCCGCGCTGTCGACGGCCCTACCACAAGGGGCGCATTTGTCACCGACGGGGCGGTAGAGAAGCGCAGTGCTTGAGCGCATCGTAAGACTTGGAAAGAAGTGTACATGGCCGGCTATTGACCCCGTGAATGAAGGAGGAATCGTAGCCATGAGGCGAAGCACGCACCATGCCGTTGAGGGTACGTGTATGGGCAAATGGATGGAAGAGGCGCGATAGGGAACAACGGTCAGCTGCAGTGCTCCTGGCGACTTGCGATACATTTCCGGACACTCACCTGGTGCTCGCGTACCAGCGGTCCCGACGGGCGTGGGTGCGTTCGCACCGGGTCAGCACGGACGGAGTCCCCACTTGGAACCGCGGCGGAGCTGGAAGGTGGGCGACCAGGCGCCGACCTGGTGACCTTCATGAGAAGCTCCGGTAAAACGTCCGTGACGGATATTCTCATGCTCGTGGAACGACTTGGAACGAATGCGGTACCGTCTATAGCGAATAGAAGGGCACCGCCCGGAACGGAGCAAAGCAAACCTCACAACTGTACCCGCCGTCCACAGAGGGCGCGTCGACTTCAGTTGTGATTTCAGAGGGGGATGACGAGATAGACGGTGCGAATAACCAAGAAATAGAGTAGGTATCGATACATTAGGGTGGGGATACGTGCTAACCTTGGGGACGTCGGGTCTAGGTCAGAAGCAGCGGAGTACCCCAAAGGATGCGACATACCATTAGACAATAAGTTACGTGCTGCACTCCCTCAAGGACCAGCTTTAGCACCCTCCTCTGAGAAGAATATTACCGACACAGTCATATCGTCTCTACGACCGGGGTCAGCGGCCGTGATATCCACGTAGATGACGTTCACGTACCTATACACTCTCGCCTTCGGCGTTTTCATGTTTAGCAACCCCGCCGTGAGGTCCTTGTCAGCGCCTCCGAGCGCATTTCGGAGCAAGTGCGTGGCCGCGTTCGCGTCCGAACGCACGAAGCGTTTCTCCACACCCCACTGACGATAGCGCACCGTGTCGTCGCGCTCCGCCATCCAAACAGGGAGTGCGTGCGGCGCATACCCTCCAATAGGCTCGCGCTTGCCATACCCAGCCTGCTCTGCCTCCTTCCACAGGCCGACGAGCCCAACAGCTTCCTCGCTCGTCAGGCTCTCCCAAATTCCGTCCGTTGCCATGATGAGGAAGTCACCGGGCTGGACCTCAATCGAGGTGACCTCCGGCTCAGCGGTGATGTACGGGGGAGTCTTGATGTCCGGGACCGGGGAACGGCCGAGGTAGTGCCGCTTGAGCTTGTCCTGGACGTCCCGCGACCACTTGTACCGCGCGTCGCCGAACGCACGCGACACAGCCATCCCGAAGACGCGTCCGGCCTGTACGACGTGCTCGCCGGGGTGCTCCGCCTTGAGCCGCGCGAGCTCCTCCTCGTTCGCGCCGTTCTGGTCGGTCGAGAGGATGTACACGTCGTACTTGAGCGTCCCGTCCTCGTTGTATCGCCGTCTGCCGAGCACCGCGCGCGAGTCTCCCGTGAGGGCGACGTAGAGGCGACGAGAGTGCGAGTCGAAGAACGCGAGGAGGGCGCAAGACCCGGAGTAGGCGGGCGCCAAGAGTCGGACCGCCGCCTCTTTAGACTTTGTAGCCAGGACGGTCGGTAGCGGAGCGTTGACGATGTCGTCGTCGAGTCTGTTGAAGGTGGATTTGAGCGTGGTGACGATCTGCCCCGTCGATGGCAGGGGGTCGGACTTCGAGTCGGATGCGACGAGACTGGAGTAGAGGTCCGCGAGCGCGCCGACCACCGCGACGATCAGTTTATCAGCGAGCCACTTGCTCGTGTCCCCGCCATTGTGACCGTCGTAGATGCCGAAGAAGGACCAGTATCCGGAAGGTGTTGGGACCACAGCCTCTTGATGTTCGTCCTCGGCCGGCTCGTTACTGGGCGGTGCAAGTGCGATCAGAATGGTGACTCCTGCGGCAATGGGACTCCTACGCACCTGGCCAAGTGAGCGAAGTCGTATCGAGCAATGCCCGATGACGCAGGAGGATGGGTGGTCTTCTCGTTTCTCCGCAAAACGCAGTCAATGTCAATGCCATGCCGTCCTAGGAACCCAACGAAGCTCTCGTTAGCGGTTCGAGGTCAGAGGTAGGCTATTGCAGACTTACGATCGAGGTCCCCTTCGAGAGAGACGGCAGCATTCGAGAGACAGCTGATTGCGGCCGTCCATATGCCGAATATAGCGGCGAAGAGCGAGGAGCGAGTGGAGGTGTCGGACGCGTCCTCCGACTTACCATGCTCGCGCTCGGCCGACCCGTTCTCCATCTTGGCGGATGACGACATGTGCCCACGGCCAGCGAGCAGGCCCTTCCGTGGAAAAGACAGACGTGCGAGAATTCCTGGTCGACGACGCGGAAGCAGGACACTGACAGGGCGGATGGAGGTGCCGGTTCTAGACAGACCAAACGCAGGACGCATTCTGCCCCTGAGCGGGCTCAGGCAATTTGAGGGTCTAGCCCGCTATATATGAGTGCAATTTCGTCAAAAAGCCGAGTGTCGGATAGTCTATCGTCCGTCGCGGGAAGTGATTTGCCGACAGGCACCGTGGCGCAGGTGGGGGTAGGTATGTGACCGAGAAACGTGGACGCGCGGGAATTACCTCTTTGGGCGGCTACCCCACGTGGCAGCGGTCAAACAACCACCCATACCTTGATCCAGTCACTCTCCTGCGGCGACAACGCGTGTCCGGATCCTTGACCGCTACGATCTGAGACGACCATCATGATCAGTCGCTAGAGCCCGTGCTTGTTGCAGCGCTCTTTGTCTTCTATCGTGTTCACGCCATCCACGTCTCGCGGTCGCGGTGACCATGATACAGTTTCAAGCTTGCGCCCGGGAGGACTCTTCGACCTCTTCTTCTCCAATCAGGCGCTCAGAGGTGCATTGTCGTCGCGGTGCGGTCAGCAAATCGTGCGGAAACCCTCCGGCCACCGAAGTGCCCAGCAGTGTCGATTATGCTCACGGCAACAGTGTAGAATGATGCCAACCCAAGTGGTCTCGAATATCTTCAAGTTGATGCTCTCAAGAGTCAAACCCCACGACGTCTTGATGTTCCAGCGGGGACTCGAATACGCTTTGGCCGCCTGCTGCCACATCAGCCCTAGGCCTATCCAGTGCGGCGATAGCTGCGTTCTGACGCCTGACGCTTCTCCTCCGAGTCGGGCTCCCGATCTCCGCCCTGTGTTCTCCATCCAAAGTTGATTCCTGTTCACGTCGATATGCGCCCGAGCTCCCAATCCCGCGGCTGCACAACAACTCCGTCGCGAGCTCCACAATCCCAAGGCCACAAGCTGTCCGTCGTCGGGATTATTGAAGCTCAAGTTCGACACCTTCGGACAGGACATCTCCGGCCCACCTAAAGATCAGTAGCATTGGAGTCTGGCACTTTGCTCTCCCGGTTGTGTTGCCACCAGAGCCTTCGGTCTGCTGCCCCAACTCACGGTCATGGTCGCGGCGAGAGTTCTACTTCCCTTGTCGTCCAAGATCTTTCTCTCCCGACCTTCCTTGCTCCCGACCTTCCTTACGCGCTAATAGACAGACCCCCAACGCGGCGTATAGCACAGCTTGCAATTGCACTGACCTCGTCTCTGTTACCGACATTGCGCTCCTATCCTCTCGCTTTACTTGCAACCTACATAGATGATCACCCGGATCGCTCGGGCATCTCGATTCCTGCTTCAACTTGTTGGGTACTCCTGTGATCTCGTGATCTATGTAACTCTCTACTCAACGGTGGTCTCGCGCCAGCACCGTCCAATTCGAACTATTCCTCTGATTAGAAGCGACCGCAGGCTTGCAGTGCACGTGTCTGGCCATGGGTGAACCGGTGCTAGTCACGTCGCACGCAGATCGTCGATTCGGACTGTATATACATACATGCCCTCGGAACTACGGAAGAATAAAGTAAGCAAAACCACAGCCATCCTACATACCAGGCACAGAAAGTCTTCTGCCGGTTGGCACCCGCATTGCTAGGTTCAACACATGGACGGTCTTGGTATGAGACTACCCGCATTGCGGTCACGGTGGGTGGCGAAGATTCCTTCCAGGAAGGAAAAAACTGTGGTACAATTACTGTATCGTTCCGACACGGGGAATCGAACCCCGGGCTATCGCGTACTTTATGAGAGGCGATAATGTTAGCCACTACACCATATCGGAGACACCCAAGAGGAGGCACCATATGACATGATTCGGATTGCACACGAGGACGTCAGTACTTACTCGAGTTCAACTGCAGGCCTACACACACTACATGTAAGCACTGGATAGCGATCACGGTTTGCGTCACGACTCGGACTGATGCAGATGCATGGCACATGCACATGCGTGCGGACCTTGTGCGGACGACACTGGACAAGCACACAGGCACACCCGAGTACGTCAGGCTCGTGTCGTTTTACGTCCGCGAATCGGTCGGAAGTCGGGAGGAACGGCCCGGAGCTTGTGCGACACGGTACACCACGAGCTCCGTCCTGGCTCCGTCCGACCACTGGTATTTACCCGGCCGCCGCTGAGTACGTACATACCGTACGACGTGCTGTGGGAGCGACGCAAGGAATCCAGAACATCACTCGGACAGTCGGACTCGCAGCTGCAGACGAGAGAACGCGTAATACGGGTGGGTGGGATTACAGCTATAATGGTGGAGGTGTTGGGGGTGGTAGTACACATCTTGGACCTTTCGTTTTCGCCCTTCGGGTGGGGTGCAGCCAAACAAGAGAAGAACCGGAGGAGGGGGATAAATACTAGAGGGGCGAGGGTAGCGTATGTGCAGTTCGACCAGAGATGAGATGAGAGATGAGAGTGAGAGAGAGTGAGAGGAACCGTTGATATTAGAGAGAGAGAACAAGAGCGAGAGAGAGGAGAGCGTTGCAGTCGTGACCAGGGAAATAAAGATGGAGAAATGATGGTGATTCTACAGTGTGGTGCGGCCCTTGATATTCATGACATGATGACGGACAGAAGAGACAGAGGAGAGAGAGAGGAGACGCAAGGAACGGGAACGGGTCGTGTGTCTGTGGGGGATGCAATTACGGTAGGAACGAGAGGGAGGGGGGTGCGGAAAGGATGATGCGATGCAAGATAGCGAGAGGAGATGCGGGAAGCGAGATGTGCGGCAGCCAAGTATGCGTGTGAGAGAGAGGGTGCGGGTGCGATGGGGATGGGAGATACACAACATAGATGGAAGGGAAGGGAGTCAGGATGGGGGGAAATGCAGGTGCGTAGAGAGGGGGTGTTTTGAGGATCCAACGTAACGAGCATGTCGTCCGAGCCCAAGGAGGAAAAAAAGAGCAAAAAGGAAACAACAGCGGCAAGCAAGACTGACCGGGAAACATGAACGGGAGGCGCACATGTGCTCAGCGTGTCCCATCCATCCGTCCCCAGCCCAGCTCCCTGCGTCTAAACCGCACGCCCTGTGGCATCACCCGCCACACCGCCCTCGCTTCGCCCAGAGCCCAGGATTACGCCGCGGCGGCGACGAGCTGCGAGAGCCCGCTCTTGACGTACGTCTGGCCGACGCCAGAGAGTCGACGGCGGAGGTAGACCCCGAGCGGACGGCCGCTTCCACGGCTGAGCAGCACGCTCGCGACGAGCCGCCCGCGCATGTCCTTCGCGCTCGGTATGCTCACGCCGAGCCCGGGCGGGACAGTGATATTGCTCTGCGCGCCGCACCCGCCCAAGGACGTCGAGGAGGAGCCGCACATGGCGTAGGACGAGACGGCCGAGGCGACGCGGGACGGGCGGGCCGAGGAAGAGGTGGGTGGGAAGGGGGAGAGCTCTTCGACGGGCTCGACGGCGTCTGCGAACGGGTCCTCGACCTCGGGGATGGCGATCGTCTTGGGGATGGCGGGGGAGGCTGCGACGGACGAAGCGAGGGCGGATGCGGTGCGTTCTGCGGGCACGGGCGGGGGAGGAGGCGCACGGCGGGTCGGGGTGGGGGAGCCGTAGGAAATGGTCGTCCGACGGGGGCGGCTGCCTGAGGCTGACACGCCGGTCGAGAGGGAGCGCATGCCGAGGCCTGTCGGCCTGTCTGTGCACGCCCCAGACCCGGAGGCTGGTGTTGTGCGTGCGAGCGGGGCGAGCGGGTCGGAGTCGTAGGAGGACCGGCGGGGAGCACAGACGTTGGGGATGCGGTTCCAGGAGGCTTGGGCGGTGCTCATGGAGAGAGATGAGTGACCGTACCGGCTGGGAGCACCGAATGCGCCGTGGATGGAGTGGATGCGGTGAGAGGGTGCAGCAGCGGCCATGGCAGACGAGCGTGCGGGAGAAAAAAAACGGACGGACGGGTGGGGGTAATAAACGGTGGGTGCGAGCGGAGTGCTGTTGTGGGGAGCGTGGGGATAGATAGTATAACGATTAGTAACGGTACTTGTCGGAGTCTGAGAGTGGGACGATGACGAGGCTGGACGAGGACGAGAGCAAGGAGAGAGCTGGAGGAGGGCGGAGATCAGGGCAGGCGTTATATACGAGTGCTCGCGACGGGTCGGAAGTGGACAATAGGACGGCGGGCCTTGGGCGGGCCTCTCGCTTCCGTCCCCATCACGCCCGCTTTGACAAGGGGCGGTGCTCCCGGCTGATCCCGCCGTTCATGCGCGTCGCCCACGCGCCCGTCGACGTCGCGAGCCTCGTGGCAGAGCCCACAGGATAATTCTATTTGGCAACCCCGGGTGCTTGTCCTGAAGCCAAGGACTATTTGGCAACCCCCGTTGTGTAACGGCGAGGGTGCTGATGTCAGCCGGAGGCACCGCAGCCGCCCACCTTCTATATCAGGATCAGAGCGTCAATTGTGCACGTAGACACGACATTGCGGACTGCATATCTCTTGTTATACGGATGGCTAAGCTCAACAAAGTGTACATTAGTGCATTGCACTGCAGCAAGAAGGGTTTGAGTCAGTAAGAACATATGCCACTGTGAGCATAACTGAGATTCAAGAATATGACCGGTTCGAGAGTGACCAGTCTCTGGCGTCTATCCAGAACACCTTCACCCTCCTTCGTTCCGCCGCATCGGACATGTCGTACGGTTGTGACCTGGCTGTCGACAGAGCCCGCACCTCCTCTCAAGTCGAGTACGACCCTCCGCCTCTCTGGATGCTAACGGTTCCGCCGCTCTTATAGCTGCAGGACGAGGCTCTGGCTGTGACTCTCGGATCTGCCCTCGCTTTCCTCCTCCACCCTGGGGCCTCCCTTCAATCGCTCCTGTCAGGCGAACCGTGCGTGGACGTCCTTTGTGCTGCACCTTTGGTGGGTCTCGGACTCCTGTATTTGCTCGCTCCTCTTGTCGCTCCTGGCTGCACCATTCAACTTAAGCAAGGTATGGACTCGAAGCAGAATGTGAGTCATAAACTTACTGTAAGTGTGTAATATCCTCTAGAAGCTCGTCGAGGTCTTCCTGTGTTTGCACATGAGAGAGGAGTGGGCGGATTGCATTCTGAGCTTCATGATACACGGTACGTGCATTCAAGGTTGTTGTCGGAGGAGGTGGTGTTGGAGCTCGAGTACGGGGTGGATTGAGGGGGTTTGATGTCCGTCCGAGAGGGACAGTCTTCATGCTTGACGCTGTTTGCACCTCATCGAGTGTCACAGGAGATACAGTTGCAACATCAAGTGTAGGATCCTGGTACCATCTAGAGTCATGGCTCGTGAGTCCATCCCACTCGTCGGATATGATAGCGTGAGTACTAGTATGCACGCACCTTGGGCGGACAAGACCTATATGAAACAGCAGACCTGCACCACGTGTCGCTGTTAATGCCTGGAAGTAATGACGGCATGGTATGCCCAGATTGAGTCCCATGCCACAATCACAGACATGCTGGTACGGGTCTATGACCACGATATAGTGCGGAGATGCGGTCTTTGATGAGCCATGACTGATTTTGAGGAGATGCTTGACTTTCAATCCGCGCTTCTGCACGAGACGCAGAATCCACTTCGTTGAGATGTACTGCTCATCATTATCGAAAGTATTGAACGTCGTCTGTCATATTGTTAGCGAAAACAGCTACCATGATCATAATACTCGACTTGACCTGTTGTTCAGATGTACTCCAGGTAAACCCTTCTTCTTTGATGCGTAGAACATACTCGTTCTGTAGTATATCCATCAGAGGTAAGTTCAGAGTATGCTACAGCTATTCTGGACGGACCCAGTTCCTCATTCCCATAGGAAGCTGCACAACTTCGGTCTTGTAGTATACGCTCTGTTCCATCTGCGTATAGGCCGTCTGCAGAGCGTATGGACCGGCGTACTGTCGAAGGAGGGAGAGTGGATTCCGGAAGAGCATCTCGAGATTGTGATTTGGCTGCTGTCGACGTGAAAGCTGTGTTGGATGGAATGAGTGTATTTCTGAATATATAAGAGCCAACTGCGATCTCATACCTGCCGCACACTAATCAAGTCATTCTTTGACTGTTCCTCAGCGCGCTCATTGAGTGCATCGAACACCTGGCGGAATGTCTTCTTCGGACCTGTGAGACACTTGTTGACTCGGTTCTCTCCCTCGACCCGTCCGTTCGTCCGCACCCCGGCAGTAAAGATAGTGCTGACCCAGGCCCAGGCCCAGCGCTCACGGCACGGATATAGCTCCTCCTGTAGATAGGCATGTGCAGCGGGATAATGATCAAGTAGCTTCTTCCATAGGCGATCGAACTCTTCCGGAGAGACTGCTCGATAAGCAGCCCAGAACTCTTGAGTGAAAGCGCTCCACCGTGGACCAAGCTTAGGCTGAATGTGCTGCGCAACATTTCCGTTGAGATGGTGTAGGCAGTAGAGATGGTGTGAAAGAGGGAAGACGAGGGCAGCGCTTGCAATGAGTGAGACATGGCGATCTGTAATGAGAGCTTCAGGTGGATGTTCTGCGCTCTCGAGGTGACATCGGTACACCCAGGCGTGGGTTTGCATGTCCTCTGTCGCATGTAGTGCATACCAAAGATTGCGTGACTTGGCAAAGTTGTCTATGCCGATGCCGATGTTGAGTGGATAGCCATAGGTGTTGCGATTGTAGGTGTTGTCGTTTAGGAGGATGTCATGATAGCGCTGCGTCAGCCTTGCCTGTTCCGGAGATTGCCACCAGAGACAAATGAGTGTTTGTGACTCGTCCAACCGTAACTTGAACCGCCATGGCTGTCCCTCCTCAATGAGCTCCTGGATCC